ATCCGGGCCATAATGATCCCAGTAACCCTGATCCTCGTCTTCCACATCCGCTTCCTTGTTTTTTGCCTCCTCCGCTCCCTCCGCAGAGTCCGCCAAGACCGGATCTTGCGGACCTTCAGCACCCAAGTCATCCGCCCTCTGCACCCCTTCCTCTCGTCCTGCGTCGTTCGACCCTACTCCTCCCTTCGCACCCCCCGAAATCTCCATGCAGTCGTAGGATCAGCTTCGTTGCTCGCCTCCTGGGACGTCGATCGCACACGCGTGGTAGCAATCGCCGGTGGTCTGACGTAGAAACCCTAGACTTCAGCGTCGCCGCCGAAGGAAGAGGTGGACTCTAGGAAACCCTAGAGGAAAAAACTCACGCATGCTCACCTTAGTTGTTGGGTTTAGTGCTGGTAATAGCTGACATCGTACTGCCGTAGAAGTTATCGAGTAATTTCAGTTAGCTTGCTATATATGCTCTGGGTACATTGGGGGTTCATCGCTTGTTCCGTCACCGTTGAGCTTGTTTAGGCTCTGACACTAAATCAAGGCTAGGTCGGGCTTCGTCCAGTTGATGGATAGACATGCGCGCGATGTTTTTGCAACAAGAGGAAAATTCACCCGGAGTTTTGCATGGCAATGGATGTAGCCACAAAGGGCGTTCCGGGGAGAGTGGCGTTGGTGGTCGGTCACCCCCGTTTCTCCACACTTGGCGCCTCCTGCTACTCCTTTCCCCTCCACCCAATAAAAAGAGCAAGGGACGAGGAGATGCATGCGTGCTTGCTTTGCATGCCCCATTGCTTCTTGTTGAGAAATAGAAAGGGTTCCGGTAGATCCATTTCAAAGACTTTCATTTCATAATCCATCGCTACCTCTCCAAGCAAAGCGCGCACAAAGCTCGAGGTCGATCTGCAGGCGCGGCGGTGCACGTATATATATCTTGCTGCCGGCGGGAACGAGGCACCCTTCTCGTTCGCCGTCGAATTCGACGCCCGCCGGCACCGGAGCGGCCGATCCGGCGATTCATCGTGCCCGGTCATTGAGGTGCGTCGCCGTTCCAAGACATCTCATGTCGTTTCTTCACATTTGTCCGATCGTGCACGTTTGATTCTTGTTTCTTCACATGATAAGCCAGGCCTAGCGCATGAGCTAGCTGGAACGAGAGCTAAGAAAGGGAAAATGCCGTTGTTTGATCGAGATCGCTACCAGAGGCTGCCGCTCGACGTCGGCGGCGGTGGCGCCCGGCGGCCCGCGTCGTCCTGCGCCACAGCCACGGTCGTCCTCTTCGTGGGGCTCTGCCTCGTCGCCGCGTGGCTGATGGCGCCCACGAGCCACGTCCCGATGGGCGTCTCACCGGACAAGGCCGGGGAGGACACGGACGTCGGCTTGACCCGCAGCGTCGTCAAGGGTGCCGACGCCGACATGACACAGACAACAGACAAGGCTGCCAAGGAGGAGGACGACGGTCCGGCCGTGCAAACGACGGAGGTCGACCAGAGCGCAGAGACGACGGATGCCGATGCCAACAGCGCCACCGCAGGCAAGCCCGACGGCGACACCGTAACCGGGGCCGAGTCGCCGTCCAAGAACCTCACACCCTCTCACGACAGCGGCATGACGGAAGGCGGGGATGTGGCCAAGCCGGAGGAAGACCCCGACAAGAATGTCCAGAATAACACGGAGGAGGCGACGACCGACAAGGGCGCCGAGGATGTGTCGACAGGCACGAACCAGAGCGGCGGCAACAATACCGAGCAGGACACGGAGGAAGCGACGACCGACAAGGGCGCCGAGGAGTCGACAGGAACGAAGCAGAGCGGCAGCAACAACGCCAAGCAGAACACGGAGGAGGCGACGACCGACAAGGGCGCCGAGGATGCGTCGACAGGCACGAACCAGAGCGGCGGCAACAACGCCGAGCAGAACACGGAGGAGGGGACGACCGACAAGAGCGCCGAGGATGCGTCGACAGACACGAACCAGAGTGGTGGCAACAATGCCGAGCAGAACACGGAGGAGGCGACGACCTACAAGAGCGCCGAGGATGCGTCAACAGGCACAAACCAGAGCACGGAGGAGGCACCAAAAGACACGACGGACACCGGTGACCAGGTTGATAAAAGCTCCGGCACTACAGAGACCGGCGGCCAGGGCGAGAAGAACGTCGAGGCGGCGCTGACCGAGAAGAAGGCTGAGACAGAGGATAACATCACCAACAAGAACGCCGAAGAGACGCCGGCCTACGCAAAAGAAGCTGGCGACGACGGTATGGAGAAGAACCAGACGGCCTTCGACGACCGGACCGGCGACGATGCGGCCACCGGCGCTGCATCCAAGAACCAAACGTTCGTCGACAAGAACGACAGACCCAGGAACCAGACATCTACAACTGTAGATGACACACTCTCTGAAGAAGACGGAATGGTTCTAACGAACAGTAGCACCACCACCCAAGGCGAAGACGAGAGGCCAGTGACGGAGCCGGTGACCGGCGGCGACGCAGAAACGGCGGAGCTGCTGCCGAGCGGGCAGGCGGAGCTTCTCAACGAGACGACGACGGCTGAGCAGGACGTCACGTTCCCGACACAGGCGACGGAGTCGACCGAGGAGAAGGCGCGAAACAGCAGGAAGAAGAAGGAGCACCAGAACAACGGCAATGTGGTGGTCGTCGTCGGCGAGTCGTCGACGGAGGAGGCATCGTACGTGTGGAAGCTGTGCAACACGAGCGCCGGCGCGGACTACATCCCGTGCCTGGACAACGAGGCGGCCATCAAGGGCCTCAAGAGCAACAAGCACTACGAGCACCGCGAGCGGCACTGCCCGTCCCCAGCGCCGTCATGCCTGGTGCCGCTGCCGGAGGGCTACCGGCAGCCGATCCCGTGGCCGGAAAGCCGCGAGAGGATCTGGTACAACAACGTGCCGCACACCAAGCTGGCGCTGTACAAGGGGCACCAAAACTGGGTGAAGGTGTCCGGCGACGGCGAGCACCTGGTGTTCCCGGGCGGCGGCACGCAGTTCCTGAACGGCGCGTCGCACTACATCGACGTGATCCAGGAGGCGCTCCCGGCGGTGGCGTGGGGGACGCGCAGCCGCGTGGCGCTTGACGTCGGCTGCGGCGTGGCAAGCTTGGGCGGGTACCTGTTCGACAAGGACGTGCTGGCCATGTCCTTCGCGCCCAAGGACGAGCACGAGGCGCAGGTGCAGTTCGCGCTGGAGCGCGGGATCCCGGCCATCTCGGCTGTGATGGGCACGAAGCGGCTCCCCTTCCCCGGCGGCGCCTACGACTTGGTGCACTGCGCGCGGTGCCGCGTGCCGTGGCACATCGAGGGAGGCAAGCTGCTGCTGGAGGCGAACCGGCTGCTCCGGCCCGGCGGGCTGTTCGTGTGGTCAGCGACGCCGGTGTACCGGAAGGACGCGGAGAACGTGGGGATCTGGCAGGCCATGGCTGCACTGACAAAGTCCATGTGCTGGGAGATGGTGACGAGGACGAGCGACACGGTGGACCAGACCGCCATGGTCATCTTCAAGAAGCCGTCCAGCAACGAGTGCTACAGCAAGAGGAGCCGGGCGGAGCCGCCGCTGTGCGAGGAGTCGGATGACCCCAACGCCGCATGGTACTACCAATCAAGGCCGCATGCGCACGATTTTTCTTCATGAATCGCTTGCTCTCATGCTTGTTGCACTGCAATTGCATGGCAGGAACATAACGCTGCAGGCGTGCATGCACAGAGTGGCCACCGAGGCAGCGGCGCGAGGCTCGCGGTGGCCGGAGCAGTGGCCGGAGAGGCTGACGGCGGCGCCCTACTGGCTGAACGAGAGCCAGGTGGGCGTGTACGGCAAGCCCGCGGCGGATGACCTGGCGGCGGACACGGAGCACTGGAGGGAGGCGGTCAACAGCTCCTACCTGAGCGGCATGGGCATCGAGTGGAAGAACGTGAGGAACGTCATCGACATGCGATCCGTCTACGGCGGGTAAGCCCTTTCCTTTCCTCTCATTGTGTTGAAGGAGGAGCATGCATGACATGGAGATGGCTTGATCGATCAGGTTGGCGGCGGCGCTGCGGGACATGAAGGTGTGGGTGATGAACATCGTGCCGGTGGAGTCGCCGGATACGCTGCCCATCATCTACGAGCGCGGGCTGCTGGGGATGTACCACGACTGGTGCGAGTCCCTGAGCACGTACCCGAGGTCGTACGATCTCGTCCACGCCGACCATCTCTTCTCCAAGCTCAAGTACAGGTGCAAGGTGAGGCTGGTGATGGCGGAGGTGGACCGGATCCTCAGGCCAGAGGGGAAGATGATCGTCCGTGACGACAGGGACACGGCCGAGGAGGTGGAGAGGATCGCCAAATCTCTGCACTGGGAGGTCCGGATGGCCGTGTCAAACCAGGGGGAGAGGCTGCTCTGCTTCCACAAGACCATGTGGCGACCCACCCAAGTCCAACCACTCGTCTAGGAACACCACCACTAGTACTTTGCAAACACATGAGTATCAGAGTATGGCAGCAATAACGAAAATAATCCTAGGATTCTTATTGTTCACAAGTTTTGCACTTGCTTGTACGACAAGGAAACAGTTAAGAACATTATCATGTCTGAAACTCAACACTCGATTTGTATGCCAAAATCTCACTAATGGCACTGAAAACTATGAACTCCCAAGAACATCTCCTTCCTCCAGGCAACAGTACTATATGAACGCAAAAAACTGAAGCAAACATCGGCTAAAGCACTTGCAATAACGGGGACTGGCTGACTGACTCTTTGTCTCTCAATCATCAATGCATTAAGCTAGTACATAAATCCATTCCACAGGAAAATTGCATCACACCCCAGTGCCATAATATCGAGCTAGTATCTAACAAAATCTTACACAGCAAAGAAGAGCCTTCCAGACTCTGCGTAACATTTGAGTTTACCGCAGAGACATCATAAAACACTCAAAGGCACGGTATCAATGTTTAACATTAGAGTTTACCATCATTACAGACCACTCAAAGGCTGGCTGGCCGGCCCTCTAGAATCTTGCGAATTGCCTGTTATCATCACCGCCCTTCCGTCCATAAGGATTTGCGGCATTGATACCATGCCTCCTCGCCCCACCATCCACTTTCCTTGTCTTCCGACGTTTAGAAGCGCTGCTCTCCAAGTCAAGGTTCACTTTTGGAGGGTTCTTAAAACAGAATGATGCTGCCACAGCCTGCCGCCACATAACAAGCAATTAGATATGTCAATCCATTTTCCTGCCAAGTCCAAAACTCTAACCATATACACAATTAACTCACTTCATGCTCATCAAACATCAACATTTATACAAGGTGACAACGAGAAATATCAGCTACTTCCCAGCTCACTCACTTCTAAACTAAGCCATCGAAAAAAGAGATTCTGAAAGTGCCACAGGTGAACAAAATAAAGCAAAATGCCACTAGCACAGAGAGGATAAGGAAGACTAGTGCACAGCTGCCTCTACTCAACAGCTGAAATATTTAGGAAATGCAATGACAGCAAGACAAATTTCCTCCCACATACTAAAACGCGCAGTGGATTGTAAAGCAAAACAAAAACATACTCCCTCCGTCCGGAATTACTTCTCGCTGAAATGGATGTATCTAGATGTATTTTAGTTCTAGATACATCCATTTCTATCCATTTCTGCGACAAGTAATTCCGGATGGAGGGAGTAGTATACAAGTAAGAACTGGTGGTGCACATGAACCAAATACTGATGAGTCTTCAGAAAGAACTTGACAGCAATTATACCTTCATATCAAGATCATGAACATTAAAAATGTCCTTCATGGCGTGTGAGTTGTATGCCAAGATGTAGGATCTGTAGGCTTCTTTAGCTGACTGGTTTAGGAAGTAATTCTCACCAACGATGTTCTCCTGCCCAACAACTCAGTTAAAAATTCTGGGCATACTTTAAAAAATGGATTGAAATAATTTAATTATCATAAAAGATGCACTTACAAGGTGTGATTGTAAATTTGGCACATTCTTATTATTGAACTCGTATTCTGTGAGAGAAATCTTGGCTGCCTGCAGACACCATTACATATGTAGTTTCTGTTAACTGTAGAGAGACAGACAGACAGAGAGATCGTTAAAATTTATTACCTTCAGGTAAATAAGAAACTTCAGTTCTTGCGGCAACAAGAACAATAAGGCGCTTCCTTTGCCTTTTTCACCACGTGCAGTACGACCAACTCTGTGAATGTAATCCTAAAAGTCAAATTTGAATTCGTCAGTACAGTAAAAAGATAAGAGTAGAAAATGTAACTAGAACAGGTAGCATCACAAACCTTTGGTTCATCTGGAGGGTCATATTGCACAATATAATCCTAAACAAGGGCAATATCATTCAGTTATCAAGGAAAAGAAGAATTCGTTGCACTGGTTTCAATAAAATGTTAGTCAAAAACCTCACCACATCAGGAATATCAAGTCCACGTGCTGCCACATTAGTGCATAATAAGATGCCCTTTTCTGCCTTGCAGAAGTTAAAGAATGTTGTAGTTCGTTTCTGCTGTTTTTGTCTCCCATGGATATCTTCGCACCCTATCTGGAGAAAATTTAGAAGCTCGGCATGGAACTTTACTGAGCTACATGATGAAAAGAACACCATGACCTTCTTAGACTGTTTCTTTTTTAGGAAAGCATACAGAACCAAAAACCTCTTGTCGCTAGGAATGACACAATAGCCCTGCTGTAAGCCTTCCACGGTAGCCTGTAGGAGCATCATTGTTATTTTTACTATAGAAGTCCTCAATATAGAGAGGTGAATGGTGTGACAAATCATTTTCTTACATTTGATTTACCATCATCAACTGAGATATAAACAGGTTTTTCTTTCCTTTCTTCGTTTTTCTCAAATGACAACTTGGCAAAATCTTCAACCTGTGGATTAAAAATACCAGTAAATTCATGGAGACAGAAAAACGTCAAGAATCAACTTAAAAGTTGGGACTTCAGGACAAATCCACAAACCTCTTTAGTTTGTGTCGCAGAAAAAAGAACTGTCTGCCGATTCTGTGCATCGTTTATGGTGAATAAAAAGGAATAATGGTTAAATGTCAATAAAGTTGATAAACTGTGGTATGTATATCAAGTGAGAATTGTCAGACGGCTATATGAAAATATACCTGGGGAAGGCGTTTAAATATTTGTTTCATATCTTCCTCAAAGTTCTGCTCAAGAATGCGATCAGCTTCATCAATTATAAGACACTACAGAAAATAATAGATTGAGAGATGTCAGAGAGACAAATTAAGAGAGAAAGGGGTCAGGCTCTGCAATAATCACACAGCAATGGCACGACAAATCAAGAAGGCAAGCATTGCATATGCATAAATTAGCAGTCCACACTGCTAAAGTAAACAGCTGGCCTTGGACATAATCTTGTTGGTATGAATTCCGCCTTCCAAGTAAACTGTGTTCCCCTGCTGCGTGTTACAGTTAGGTCCAAGAGTCAAGTGTTTGGTGTAGGTTCTAAAGACACACTCTCCTCTTAAGAGTCAGCCTCCATACATTGGACACTCCAGCCTCTAATCCAAAAACCTTAGCATGACCTCACAGCTTGGAGGCAGACTCTATGTAATAAAATAACCAAGCAGCCCCAGCTGTCAGGTTGAGAAGGTTGGCAGACTTGGAGAATTATGCACAGGCTGAGAAGTACGTACTCCCTCCGTCCCATAATGTAAGACGTTTTTGCAAGCTAAAACAGCTTGCAAAAACATCTTATATTAGGGGACGGAGGGAGTATTTTTTAATCATTTGGGTTCATCTAAGAGGTGACCTCAGCCTCTATATATTGTGTGTTTTTTCACAAAGCTTAGAGGTAGTAAGCAGGGCCTGGTATAAAAGCAATGCTACCTCTAACACACTGCAAGTGCCCTTATGCAAATCAGAGAGGTGTCGGGGCCCTTCATCACGCTGCATCAGAGCTGACCATCTCCTTGCATTGCCTCGACAATATAACCTACTGTTAGGATGCTCAACTAAATCCCTTTATTAGCTGGCTATGGTCTTGATACCAGCATGGATATACTCTTAAGCACATAGATACCCACTTAATTTCTACTGAGCTATAATAGCCTAATGCACTAGCTTATAGGTTCTTAATTCAAAGATTGAAACTATTAAACTGATGGGGAACATATAGCATATATGATCTACTTACTCAAATGTATGTCCTGTAACTTTGGTTGAGATAGCTATTCTGCCCTATCTAAATTATCTTCACCACTCTCTCTCTCTCTCTCTTTCTCTACTCTTATATTGACAAAAACAGATATTCGACACTTGTGATAGTCTGCTTTTGCCATTCAGCAAGGCGTGGTCCACAGATCCTGACTCTTTCTCTTCCTTGATGAGTAGCAACTTGTGTGCAGCTAGTTTAGTTCAGATTTTGATTTATATTTTCAGTTTCTTTTTGTATGGACAATGCATGTGGTGTTTAGAAGATGACTCTGCAAACTTCATAGAAGATGCTATTTTTCCTGAGTGATGCATACACAACACAACCTAACTAAGGCATCTTAATAGAATAAGACATGCCTAATCATAATGGTTAGTAGTTTCTGAATTCTTAACTTTGTTTATTTGATACATGGAGGGATGAATACAGGTCTCTTCTTCCTTCAGGCCAGTCTAGCTTATTATGTTATCTCTTCAGTACATATATTGCTCATCTACTTTTAGTACTGATACTGTTTCTCTTTCCAATTTATGTCAGTTATGCAGCCAGCTTCAGCAGCTCTGTTAGGCACATCTTGCAGCCACGACAGGCATGCACGTGCAATGGAATAAATGATGCACGTGCAATGGAATAAATGAAAATCATATGTTAACTTGTTGGTTTAGAAATTGGGAACGGTGACACCAAAGTGCACAACCAAAACAGATAATGCAAATTTCAAATGATATTACATATGTTGATATGTGGTGTTAAAAAAAACATGTTACTCCATTGAGGGTCACCATTGGCCTTCGGCCTCCTACTATCTAGACAAAAACATGTTACTCCGTTGGGGGTCACCATTGGTCTTCGGCCTCCTACTATCTAGACAAATCTAAGACAAGTAATATGGATCGGAGGGAGTACTTTAGATGAGATTAAAGTTATGAAAAATGTGCATTGATTTTTCTGTGGCATATACATTCCTGGATGTAATGTTTGGCCAAAGAAAGAGATGGGATTTTTAGGTCATGCATGAACAGAAGACGCGCACACGATGATGAATTATAGCTTTTCTTGAACCTCGTTTAGAAAATAAATTGATTTGTAACATTTCTGAGTAATCTAAGATAATGTTTTCTACACAAGTGAATTTGTAACAAATCTGCTCCTTTCCTTGACAGAAAGGCGGTGCATACTAGTTATTTACCTTTAGTCTCTTATATATGAAACCCTTGGTGTTTTGCAGATGATCCAACAGCCTGCCTGGTGTAGCTACTAACAAATTGACCCCCTTTGCAAGCTGGTCAGCTTCAGTTCTCCGGCCATTACCACCAATTACATATCCGAGGGTTTGTGAGTGATACTTCATCAATTCCTTGGCAACATTGTGTGTCTGGACCAAAACAAAAATACTTGTTATTAAGAACAGTGAAATACAAAAATGCAGGGCTTTAAAAAGTTGACTATGGTAATTTGTTCAGTCTCGCTGTCGAAGTAATTTTGGACTAAACGATTTGTCAATATTATTAAACAGAATGAACAAAAGTACAAAAAGTTTCCACTAAAAAGCATATAGTAATCTAAAAAATGTAGTACAGCAAACAACCATGTCCACTATATTTATAAGACCATTCTTTTTCAACAAAGTATAAGCCTATATAAGTTGGCCCATCGGATTTCATTTTATCATCTTATACTCATGGTCAGAGTTTAGTGCTGAACAGTGCTAACACAGGTAAACTGAACTGCGACAACTGTAGTAGCATGATTTCTCTAGGTAATCATACCTGTATGGCAAGCTCCCTTGTAGGGCAAACCACAATAACTCCTGTGCCATTCCTCGGCGAGAAATGCAGGTTATAGAGAAGCTCGATAGCCGGTATGAGGAACGCAAGGGTCTTCCCTGAGCCAGTCTTGGCAGCTCCCATCACATCCCTTCCTTCCAGCAGATGAGGTATCGACCGAGCTTGAATCTGCAAACACAAAAAGGAACAAGGAAATCATGTAGCCAGTCAACACATTTGCACAAAATTCAACATGTACTCCTACATAACACATATTTTGCTGAAACATACAGCACTTGTGTTCTATTATACGAGCTTTCACGGAGACCAGAAAAAACAAAACGAGCCGCGGGTTAAGTTGAATGGTAAGTTCGGGCACGCACCTGGGCGAGGTGGGTGTAGTTCATCTCCCTGATGGCCTTGGCGGTGAGCTCGGAGATGGGGAGCTCCGAGAAGAGCATGCTGGTGAGGATTCCCGAACCCTCCTTGTCCTTCTTCTTCTTTTTCTCCATTCCCGTCTCCTGCACCTCCTTGTCATGCTCATGGTGCTCGTCTCCTGCGTCCGACTGCTGCTGCGGCTGCGGCTGCTCCTCTTGGTTGAATTCGTCGGCAGCGGCGGCCTCGTGGACCGTCTCCTCCTGCTCGGAGTCCGACTCTGGCGGCGGGGCGACGGGTTTCCGCTTCTTGGAGGATTTGGAGGACTTGGCGGAGCCCATGGTGGCTGCGGCGGCGATGGCAAGGGGAGGCTCGACTTCTAGGGTTTAATGGGTGGGGTCTTCGCGGCGGGAGGTTTTGTGGAGAAGGGAATGGCACGGTCGACTCGACTGGTTCTCGTTAGGTCTGAGTCGACGATATAAAGGTAACCGTCCGATACGGCTTATATACGCACCCCGATCGTTCGATCGCCCGGCAGTGCGTCCCCCTGGCCTCAGAGCCTTCTCGTGTACCGGGCCAGCCGTGGGCCACGGCACCGCGAGGAAATGGAGGCCTCTGGGCCTTCGGTCCACAGTGTAAGTTGCGTTCGTCCCTAAAAATGAAGGGCAGCTAGACGCAACGTTTTGGCTCTCCGGTGCATTTGCATCCAAGGTGAGCATTTGCAGTGGCGGAGCTAGATGCAGATTACGCCTAGGGCTGTGTTATGTTGAGTGATAAACTTCTATGATTTTCTATGCTTTGCATGAAGAAATTATAAAGGAAGTTGTTTCTAGGCCTGGGGCTATAGCCCTAGCTGCCCCAGTCCTGTCTCCGCCACTGAGCATTTGCATCCAATGTAAACAGTAATTATAGTATTTGTGATTCCCTCTCGTTAGGGTTTTCTTCCTCTCGGGGCGATCGTGATCGCCGCCGTTGAGACCTGCCCTTCCCTGCCTCCGCCAAGAATCCTTGACCTCTTCCTTCGATCGGGGCGCCGCAGCGCTCGCTGGTCTAGGACGAGGCTTGGGGAGGGGAGTTCTTGGGTTTCCTGCAAGGCCCGCGATTTTTCTGATCAAGCTAGGGTTTCAAGAGTTCATGGCATCGGATGGAGCTTCTGGGTCGGCCGACAGGGGCCCGACAGAACCAGACGATGTGGCAGCATTGATGGAGGAATTGGGGCTCTGGGAAGAAGATCTCGATGATGTGGTGTACGATGAGGATGAGGCTCCAGCGGAGGCGGCGCGATGGATAGCGCTTGTTAGAGTTCACACTGCCAAAACTTACAGCCAATTCTGGTTCTTCAAGAACATGCGTGCGACATGGGATCTTGCCCAGGAAGTTCAGTTCAAACCGCTGGAAGATAATTTGTATACGGTGCAGTTTTCGTGCCTAGGAGATTGGGAAAGAGTCACTCGAGATGGGCCTTGGCACTTCAGGGGGATGCCGTAATTCTGAAACCATACGATGGCCTGGCGAGGCCGTCCATAGTTTTGCTTGATACCATCGAGATTTGGGTGCAAATCCATGACGTCCCACCCTTCTATGCACATCTTGTGCCATCCTTAGCATCAAAGGTGGGCGAAGTCCTGTACGTTGAGCCCCAATCGCAAGATTTCGCTGGAAATTTCCACTGTGTCTGGGTCCGGATCAATGTCTACAAAGCACTGAAGAACGCAGTCTCGATGATAAGGGAGGGGAAACGCCAAATATATAGGATCAAATATGAGAAACTACCTAGTTGGTGTGCTGTGTGCGGCATGCTGGGGAATTTGTTCAAGGAACATAGCAATGGTATACATCCCCCATCAGCACTGGTTTTCAAAGATCTAAAGGCAACATGGGCTATGCGAACTGGACAGGGTCCGGGAGGGGGCTGTGGATGCAGGGGAGGCCGTCGTGGAGGCCGAGCTGGTCGTGGATCTAGTTCGCGTTTCGACCAGGATAGGGATGATGCTGGCAATGTAATAGACGCCGAGATGGCTGAGGCGGATGTCAATAGGAAGAGTGCGCAGGGCGAGGTGCAGCCTATGAAACAAACTATTACTAATGATACACATGATGGCTCTCAAGGGGCGTTGTTGGCTCTGCCCCAACCCAATCAGTTCCTCCTAGTCCAAGTGTTGGGGAACGCAGTAATTTCAAAATTTTCCTACGCATACACAAGATCATGGTGATGCATAGCAACGAGAGGGAAGAGTATCGTCTACGTACCCTCGTAGACCGTAAGCGGAAGCGTTATGAGAACGCGATTGATGTAGTCGTACGTCTTCACGATCCAACCGATCTAAGTACCAAACATACGGCACCTCCGAGTTCAGCACACGTTCAGCTCGGTGACGTCCCACGAACTCCGATCCAGCAGAGTTTTGAGGGAGAGTTCCGTCAGCACGATGGCGTGATGACGGTGATGACGATGATACCGACGCAGGGCTTTGCCTAAGCACCGCTACGATATGACCGAGGCGGATTATGGTGGAGGGGGCACCGCACACGGCTAAAAGATCAACTGATCAACTTGTGTGTCTATGGGGTGCCCCTGGCCACGTATATAAAGGAGTGGAGGGGGGAGGGCCGGCCCTCCTATGGCGTGCCCTGTGGAGTCCTACTCCCACCGGGAGTAGGATTCCCCCCTTCCATGTAGTAGGAGTAGGAGAGAAGGAAAGGGAAAAGAGAAGAGAAGGACGGAGGGGGAACCGCCCCTCCCCCTAGTCAAATTCAGACTAGGCCTTGGGGGGCGCGCAGCCTCCTCTCTCTCTTTCCCCTAAAGCCCAATAAGGCCCATATACTCCCCGGCGAATTCCCGTAACTCTCCGGTACTCCGAAAAATACCCGAATCACTCGGAACCTTTCCGATGTCCGAATATAGTCGTCCAATATATCGATCTTTATGTCTCGACCATTTCGAGACTGTTCCTCATGTCCCCGATCTCATCCGGGATTCCGAACTACCTTTGGTACATCAAAACACATAAACTCATAATACCGATCGTCACCGAATGTTAAGCGTGCGGACCCTACGGGTTCGAGAACTATGTAGACATGACCAAGACTCATCTTCGGTCAATAACCAATAGAGGAATCTGGATGCTCATATTGTTTCCTACATATACTACGAAGATCTTTATCGGTCAAACCGCATAACAACATACGTTGTTCCCTTTGTCATCGGTATGTTACTTGTCCGAGATTCGATCGTCGGTATCTCAATACCTAGTTCAATCTCGTTATCGGCAAGTCTCTTTACTCGTTCTGTAATGCATCATCTCGCAACTAACTCATTAGTCAAATTGCTTGCAAGGCTTATAGTGATGTGCATTATCGAGAGGGCCCAGAGATACCTCTCTGACAATCGGAGTGACAAATCCTAATCTCGATCTATGCCAACTCAACAAGTACCATCGGAGACACCTGTAGAGCACCTTTATAATCACCCAGTTACGTTGTGACGTTTTGTAGCACACAAAGTGTTCCTCCGGTATTCGGGAGTTGCATAATCTCATAGTCTGAGGAACATGTATAAGTCATGAAGAAAGTAGTAGCAACAAACTAAACGATCATCGTGCTAAGCTAACGGAATGGGTCAAGTCAATCACATCATTCTCTAATGATGTGAACCCGTTAATCAAATGACAACTTATGTCTATGGCTAGGAAACTTAACCATCCTTAATTCAACGAGCTAGTCAAGTGGAGGCATACTAGTGACACTCTGTTTGTCTATGTATTCACACATGTACTAATTTTCCGGTTAATACAATTCTAGCATGAATAATAAACATTTATCATGATATAAGGAAATAAATAATAACTATATTATTGCCTCTAGGGCATATTTCCTTCAGTCTCCCACTTGCACTAGAGTCAATATCTAGTTCACATCTCCATGTGACTAATACCCAAAGGGTTTACTAGAGTCAATAATCTATTTCACATCGCTATGTGATTAACACCCAAAGAGTGATCATGTTTTGCTTGTGAGAGAAGTTTAGCCTACAGGTCTACAACATTCAGATCTGTATGTATTTCACAAATTTCTATGTCTACAATGCTCTGCACGGAGCTACTCTAGCTAATTGCTCCCACTTTTAATATGTATCCAGATCGAGACTTAGAGTCGTCTAGATCGATCTAAAAAGCTTGCATCGACATAACTCTTTACGATGAACTCTTTTATCACCTCCATAACCGAGAAATATTTCCTTAGTCCTCTAAGGATCATATTGACCGTTGTCCAGTGATCTACTCCTAGATCACTATTGTACTCTGATAGAGGCTAAGGTGTCCCGATGTTTCGATGAGATGGTGGCTATCGTTTTCTATGGGAGTCGACCTTGACGATCCGACTATGAACGTGTGAGACGTCGCGCCTTAGCAATTGCTAAACCAACTTCTGAGGGTTATTGACCACATTGGAGCACGATCAACCTGACCACAAGGGTCTGTTTCCTGCGAGCAAACGAAGAACAAGCAAGAAACTGAGATTGCAATCGGGATATTGCGAATATAAGATGAAAGCTTTATTGATTAAGGTGGGGTTCTGTGACGTCTTGGTCTGGTCGTTGGACACAAATGAAGTACGCGAAGTTGCAGCTATGGCGAACTTTTAATCTAAACAAAACCCAAAGTCTAAAATGATATTGTAGAGCCATTCAATTCCTCAAGCATATCATCTAGCCTAGGAATAGGATGACGATAATGAATAGTAATATTATTAATGCCTCTACAATCAACGCACATACGCGACGTACCATCCTTTTTCGGCACTAAAATGATAGGAACAGCACAAGGACTAAGGGATTCGCGTATATAACCTTTGTTGAGTAGTTCTTGTACTTGACGCATAATCTCCTTCGTCTCCTCTGGATTGGTACGGTATGGTGCACGGTTGGGTAATGATGCACCGGGAATTAAGTCAATTTGATGCTCAATTCCTCGAATAGGTGGTAATCCCGGTGGCACGTCTTGTGGAAAGATGTCAGCGAACTCCTGCAAAATGTTAGTGACAGCAGGAGGCAAAGAGGAAGGCATGTCCTAGAATGAAAATAATGCCTCTTTGCACACAAAAGCATAGCAAACAGATTTGCTGAAATCTAGCTCATCAATATCAGATTTTGTGGCAAGTAAACATGCACTTTTCAATTTAATTTCAGAAGCAACGCTAGATGGTTTATTATTAGGTTTCATTTGTTGCTCAAATTCTTCTGCCACAATCTGATTTTCACTTTTCTCCTGTTTTGCTTTATTAGCTCTACTAATATCATCTTTCAAAATGGAATCAGGAGTCATAGGAAGCAAAGTAATAT